CCCTCCACCCTGCGGACCCTGTTCCTGCTCAGCTCCCTGAAACACACACGCACGCACACGCACACACACGCACACGCACACACACACACACACACACACACACACACACACACACACACACACACTGCCAGTTAGGTTTGGGAGGGCTTGATGCTACTGGATGGCAGTGATAACCCACTCACAATAAGTCGATAGTGGGGAATTTCTTTATCAGGACAATCATGAATATTGTCATACATGTGGCTGGAAAATCTTTCTCGTTTCTATCGTGGTAGAGAAGTGAAAGAAGAGTCTCGATCTTAAAACACAGGACTCATTATCTGAGAGCAATGTATTATTATGTTTTCTATTTACATCCCTTATGGAACAATATGATTTATTAAATATTATAGATTTGAACTAAAGAGGATATTGAATAAAAAAATGTATGCATCCTATTGTTAATGCAATGCAAATATTTGTTTCTTGACAAAATGTTAAGGTAAAGAGATTCCAGTTTATTAGGGTATTTGATGATTGTAAGGATAATATCTTCAAAATCTAAAGCCTGATTGAGAGTCAAACGGTGAAGCTTACAGGTGCAGCAGGTGGGGCAGCGTGAAGATCTTGGCTGGGATGGAGGCCAGGCGGTTGCGGTTGAGCCGGAGGAGCTGCAGACTGCTGGACAGGTTGGTGAAGCAGCCCGTCTCCAGGGAGGAGATCCGATTGTTGTTGAGGTACCTGACAAAGAAACACAGAATAATTACATAAAGAAATGTCGTTACAGAAACAGACACATGTAGGTCCATTAAAGCACCACAACAGCTACATCTGTAAGTGGTCAGACAAAAGGATTCATTCAGATTTATTCTGCTCATTCAGGCACAAACACTCTGGGAAACACTCACAGGTTCCTGAGGGCCAGCGCGGGGAAGGAGCCCGCCTTGATTTCCACCATGTTGTTGTTGCTGAGGTCGAGTGTTTCCAGAGCGAGGAAGGGTCTGAGCTGCTCCGCGGAGACCCTGCTGATCCTGTTGTTTGCTCTGAAAACACAGACAGCATCGCTCCAATAAATGACAAAGATACTGTGTATTTGACCAGTGGCTCACACCAGCTTCATGTTTCCAGATATGCAAACAGTCAAGGCCCTCAATTAGCCTGTGGTATAAAAAGGCAAACTCTCACACGCCTGTAAGCTATAACTTACCACCCAGCGTGAAACTCTGTCAGAGGGTTTTGCTGATGTAGCATGCATATTTTAGAGATGACAAACAAATTGCTCAGTATGATCAAGTCGCTGCAGTCCAAACAACCTTTGGCTTTAGTGATGTGTGATTTTGTTTATAAGGTAATTACCAACAAGGTATTTTAAAAAGTAACCTGCCAATTACTTGGCTGATGAATGCCATTCCCTCAGTGAAAGCATGCCTCGGCAGAGGCCAGCAATTTCCTGCGCTGCACGCCTCCTAAATTGCAGTGCAGGGACTCTTGGTTATAAACACAGCCGTACAGTGCCCTCTTTGTGCGTGAGACTGGCAGAGAGAGAGTG